ACAAAAAATATAAAACAAAAAACAACAGACTAAATAATAATAATAATAATATCAGGAGCATAAGTCATCTACAGGCTTTCTCCATTTATCCCGACCTGCCACTAAATACCTCAGCCCACTCCAACTTCTTCCATCTCTTCTCAGAGTGGATCTCTTCCAGCTGTTTCTTGGTATCCCCTTTCCTCTATTTCCCTGAGGATTCCATTGAAGCACGACGTTTGATGGCTATTCATCATCCTTCCTCGTCATGTGTCCGGTCCATCGAAATTTTCATTCCTTTATCTCCATATATACACACACATGTTGGATCCATTTCAAATAGAACTGCCAGAGTTGTCTATTTGAAATGGATCAAGGCCACCAAATTCTTTATATAATGCCTTTTGCAAAATGATAATTTAATGTAAACAATTTACATTACAGTAGTTTGCTGAATGTAGACCGAGTTGCAATATAAATTAATATACTGAATTCATATAACCCATATTCTGGAGAAAAAAAATTTAAATATAATTTTATTGGATTTTTTTAATTTTTGCCTGTTTTCTCCAAAAGTGAATTTTGCTTTTATGGCTGCTTTTATAATCATTTTTTTTTTTTTCAGAATGGTTCAATTGTGGCACCAGCCTCTTTCTCCCCACTGCTTGCGTTGGCTGTGTATGGGATGGGGCACGGGGAAGCCATAGAGGGCAGCATGTCATTTCTCATGGGTCTGAGTTATCTACGATATGGACTTACAGCCATTGCAGACTCACTATATGGACACAGTCGTCCCTCTATGAGCTGTCTTGATAGTGAATTTGAGTATTGTCATTACAAAGATCCCAAATTAATACTCAGAGATCTGGGTATGGCTGACACTACAACACTGGGACAGATTGCAGCACTAATTTCATTTGCTTTGGTGTACCGGTTTGTGGCATACTTAGCACTTCGGTACAGACTTACCTCAGAGTTTTCTAACCAAGTATTGAACTATATAGCTAAGATACTGAGGCACAAGTGAAACCTCTTTCTTTTACTAACCTGCAAGTTGTGTATTTTAGGGTGGTCAGATTATTGGTTCTGACGAATTCTGATGCAATGAAATGGTTATAAATATTGCAATCTATTTTTGAGATTGAGGTTCTCAGACCAGTGTCTGAAGAAGTACAATCTTCTGAGCTGTGTTTGTGTGCAGCCTGACAGTAGTTTACTGAATTTTTGTAAGATTTTACTGCTTTCATTGTCAGAGAAGAAGAGAAAACAGGCCAAGCATGCAGCAAGCAGAATGTTTGCACAGCTTACAATTCAATCCTACATATGGAAGCACTATGTTCCTCTAAAATGCAGGAAAACTTATACCAGACTACACAGCATCACAGGCCAGACAGTAGCACTTTTAAATGTATGTGTATTCCACTGTTTTGATGCTGGAGAGGCATTTACTTGTCAAATTCATTTGCAGAGTATGAAGTCTGTATGAAGATTACAGATTTAAGAAATTGAGCAATCAGTGTACATTATGACTGATAAAATATGTCACTGAATGAGAAGACTGCTGTGCAGATTTATAGTATTGATTGCTGGATATTCATTACAGAATGTTTGATATAAGATAAAATCATGATCTAGAAGAAAGGGCGACAGTATATGAGGATGAAAACGGATCCTGACCCCCAGGCTGCTCAAAGAATTATACTGCTCTATAGACCTTAAATACAAATCTTGAAAATTTTCTACAAAGAAATATAGTCAGTCAGTAGTATACTTCATGAAAGCATATGATATCTCTGCACTGCTTCCTCTAACAAAGAAGAGAATGATGACTTAATGTCATCCGCAGGGAAATTCTTTTTCATCACAGTATCTGAAAGTAGAAGTCAGAAGAAATTAAAGTTTACATTACATGTAATTAAATATTGATTTTAAAGGGTTCTGATGATGGATGGGTAACAACAGTCCAGAAAACCAGTAATTCTGAAATATTTTTTTTTTCCTCAAAATACTTAGAAAGATCAGAAGACCTTAAAATTCAATCCTGTACTTCAAAAAATTTGAATGGTGATTTGAAATGCACCCACAGAGGTGGAAACTAATAATTCTGCAGCTCCATAGCAATCTCTGCTATTGTAAATGCTTAGTATTGTATACAGAATATTTCATAGCAAGTCTGTGTATTCTCAGTTCATTTCACAGTAGGAAACAGGATGTTAGACAGAATCCTGAGAGGAGAAAAAAAAAGTTGTATTAAATATCCATCTTTCTTTTATTTTGTAGAGTGTAATTAAATGGCACTCCTACATGAAGAGGTTTGGCTACTACCACTATTACTCTGGTCATGTCAACTGATTCACAAGTACAAAGAGCCATTTATGTGTGACAAAGGATAATCAAAGTCTCATGGCAGAAGTCTGTATGAGCAAAACTTTCAGAAGCTTGCCCAAACCAACATGATGTACATCTGAAAAAACAAGGAACACACTTGTTTTGGGAGTTGGTATAGCTATTGATGTTTGGTATTCTCCATGGTCGTCTATTTTCTTTGGTAATATTTGCCACCATTATGCCAGGTAACATAGAATTTAACTGAATGTAGTTGTAATCAATGTGTAGGTTATGTCTTTGTATTATTTTGTTTCACTATCATATTGCTTCACATCATAATTATGCAGAAAGTAGTATTCATTTTATCAACTGTGGTGTTTGTGTTGTATTCTGTTGTGTTTGATTTAATAATTTAATAACAGTACACAGAAAACTGTGCAGGATATGCAGTAAGATATATGTCAGGCAAAATCTAAAGATATTATGTTTTCTGCCTTTCAAGATGTTTTCCTATCTTATATAACAACAAACAAATTAAATTGATGTATTAAAACGTTGTTTTCAGTAACTGAATGTGTCTTATATATATATATATATATATATATATATATGTGTAAATCATTATTTAATGAAGTTAGAGGGGTGGGGGGCAAGACCAACTGAATAGATGCAAAACTTTATATAAAATTAATTTTCTTCATTTCGGACATCCTTTCTTTCATCATTCTTTATTAGATGAAAGAATACACACGCACACCTACATAGGTATATATGTTTCATCCAGAGAACAAAATGTGTAAATCTATTGTATGCAGACAAGAACAATGTATAAAAAAAGAATCTTATGTTGTTACTTGGTTGTTATTAATGCTTAGAATAACACAATATTGGTGTGTTGTATTTTATTCATTATACTCTACCAATATGGTATTCAGTGCAGAATTGTACATAAGGGCAATCATTATTTAGTCTTTAAAATACAATAACCAACTGATTATTTATAAAGAACAAAAAACAATCTCACCTTCCCATATTCCTTGACTGTTTTTTGCAGATTGTGTCCAGTTTCAGTAGTTCATTTGTTGCCATTTATACATCACCTCTTCCATTCATACTTCAGTTAGGAGTTAATGTACATTGATTCTAAAAATTGTGGCAACTTCTTCAGACATTTTTCACCTGCAATTCACAAAACTTGCTTTTGTGCCACCATAATATTACATGTTTCCTGAAAATACTTCAACTCTTATAATGCTCAATGCATTAGATTATAATAAAATTAATGTCACCTGCCAGGCCTAATGTATGCAGTGAAGTTTTAATGTTGTGGCAGTAAGTTAATGAGGAGGAACAGAATTCTTCCAATTATAGTATAAATAGAAAAAACATTGCTGCAATCTATTATGTACTACTTATTGCTTCACAGTATTTTTAAATATGGAAGTTTCCTCTTGTTCCCTCTTTGTTTTCTGCATTCTTTTCCATTGTTCTGTGTAATTATTGTAACTAGATAAAATATTGTGTTGTGAGCAGAATTCTCATTTTCAACACTTCTTATTTACAGGGAAGAATAATAAAGTTAATTTAATGTTGCAGCCATCTAGGATTATTTAACTAATTATCCCATTACCCTGACCTTTGAAAAGTCATACTTTTGCAAGAGTGAATGAATGTTAACTCGGCTAATATTTTACTACCAATTTTCATCAATATTTTAATGTCATCTAAAAGTATAATCTAAATACAAGAAAATATCTAGAATTCAGGTATCATGATAGTCAGGTCCCATTAATTGCAAAGTTCAAATGATTGAATCAGAAATGAATACTATGCTCCACATTTCATGTTTTCAAACATTAGCAGTTTACATGAATTATTTAAATTATATAATTTTCTCTTGTAAATTAAATGGTCATACAATTGCTAATGATGTTTGTTTGAGCAAAAAGAAATTAATGGTCAAGTGGAGCAATATACACTGCTCCTTTTAGAGCATGCAGCATGTTGTGTTGTTTGAATCAATGTGATAAGCTAGTTGTATAGCATGTGCAACTTTATAGGAAACATGGAAGTGCAGTCTGTCACACACATGCTAGGAAGGGTAATTATTTTATAAAAAAACACAAAATAAGGTGTAAATATGTGTGTGTAAACATATTCCTTACAAGTAGTTACTTTAGGACGGAAACAGATCCAGTTTCCGAAACGTCGTGTTTTTATAGTTATCTTAAAAACCAGGGCGATGGATAAAGTCCGAAAACCCAATATATCAGTATATTCCTTACAGTTTTTAATACAGTGGAAACTCTACTTAATGTTTTTTTTTTTTATTTTAGATATTCCCTCATTTAATGTTCAGTTTAAAATATACCAAGTCAAGAATATGAGTGTTAAATTTCCTCCACTTGAGATCTTAGTATTCTATCCATTGCTCCCAAGGGAAAGCTTAAATGGGAATTGCACTGTATATCACTGGTCTTGATGTAAATTCATTCCAGTTATAAAAGCTCTATTGAAACTACAAGCCTTTTTAATTTTTTACAAAGCTATTCAAACAGTAAAGAGTAATGTTATTTTCCCTTGTACTTTGTTAAAGGTACAGCATATTAAAATTTTTAAATACATCTTATGTTAAGTTTGTGTTATGTACAAATTCATATTCAGTGAACAATTCTTCTGAAATATGCTCAAAATTTGCTATATAGAACATTCTTGCTTATGTTCACAAAACAAGGTTTCAAATCTTTGAGTCTGTTCATAGTTTTAAATATTCTAGTGAATTTGTAAGTGTTAAAATAATGGAAGGATGCATGTTAAAAAAGGAATTTCAGGTCCTAAACAATCCTTTTATGAACAGGTCTGAATACCTTCATTAGTAATTTACAAACATCTTAGAGAGATAGGATAGGATGGTATGGATTGGATAGATATGATTCAGGATAGGGACCAGTGGAGGGCTCTTGTGAACATGGTGATGAACCTTCAGGTTCCATAAAATGCTGGGAAATTCTTGAGTAGCTGCAGAATTGGCGGCTCCTCCAGAAGGGCTCAGCTCCATGCGTAAATAAGTAAGTAAGTAATTTACAAACAGTTGTTTTCATATCTACTTCTTATTTTTCATGATGGGGTGCTTGAATATGTACACAAATTACCATGTAATTCCCTCATGGAACTGAGCTCTTCTTGTAAAACTGCCAATTGTGTGGCTACTCAAGAACTAACCAGCATTTTATGGAACCCAAAGGTTCATTACCCTGTTTAAAAGAGCCCTCCACTGGCCCCTATCCAGAACCAGATCAATCCAATCCATACCATCCCATCTCTTTTAAGATCCATTTTATATTGTCCACCCACGTAGGTCTTGGTCTTCCCAGTGATCCCTTTCCTTCTGGATTACCCATCAATATCATATATGCATTCTTCTTCTCACCATTTGTGGTACATGCCCTGCCCATCTCGTCCTCATTCACTTGATCATTCTAATTATATTGGAGAAGGGTGCAAGTTATGAAGTTCCTCATTATGTAGTTGTCTCCAACCTCCCGTCACTTCATATCTCTTCAGTCCAAACACACTCCTCAACACCCTGTTCTCAAAACACCCTCAGTCTGTGTTCCCCCCTTAATGTCAGAGACCGGTTTTCACACTCGCACAGAATCACAGGCAAAATTATAGTTTGGTGTATTCTAAATTTTATGTTGATAGACAGCAGACAAAAAGACGAAAGGTTCTGGGCTGAATGGTAGCAAGTATTACTCAGATTCAGTCTCCTCTTATTTTCCACCTGAAACAGGTTTTGATTTGATATGGTTGTTCCCAAATATCTGAACTGTGTCACATTTTCAAGACATCTCTATGACCTAATTTTGTCCTGCATTTTATGAGGCAATAACATATACTTAAATTTGTCTGTGTTTACTTCTAGACCAACCTCCTTACTAGCGTCAATTAAAGTTTGTGTGGTTTACTTTATGGTATCTCTGTTATCATCCAATAGATTCACAGCATCAGCACAGACCAAAAGCTGTTTTGTCCCATATAATTTCAGTCCCACCTGGTTTTCCTGGACCTTCCTAATGGCATATTCTAAACCAAAGTTGAAAAGCAGCGGTGATAAAGCATCTTGTTTTATGCCATTCTGGGTAGGAAAATTATCAGACAGATGCCATTCAGCCCATAAGTTTTAGCCTCACACCTGCTGTCTAAAAAGGTAAATTTAGAATATACAAAATTATAATTTTGCCTGTTGTTCTGTATGGGTATAAAACTTGGTCTTTGACAATCAGGGAAGAACATAGACTGAGGGTGTATGAGAACAGGATACTGAGGAGCGTGTTTAGACCGAAGAGAGATGAAGTGACAGGAGGTTGGAGAAAACTGCATAATGAGGAGCTTCATAACTTGTACTCTTCGCCAAGTATAATTAGAATAATGAAGTCAAGGTGGATGATATGGGCAGGGCATGTAGCACGATGGTGGCGAAGATGATTGGATATACGATATTGGATGGAAAGAGACCACTGGGAAGACCAAGACGTAGGTAAGTGGACGATATTAAAATGGATCTTAGAGAGATGGAATAGTATGGAAAGAATTGATATGGCTCTGGATTTAAACCAGTGGAGGGCTTTTGTGAACACAATAATGAAGGAATACTGGAAAATTCTTGAGTAGCTGCACAATTGGCAGCTTCTCAAGAAGGGCTCAGATCCGTGGTTGAGGTCTCCTCCTCTTGGCGTAGCTGTTAAATTTAAAGTAAAAAAATACACCATATAGGGCCTATCACAATGGTCGCGCGGCCTAAAGCATGAAATATATTTGCCTGCTCGACCACTGGGATCATGGGTTCGAATCCCACTCAAGGCATGAATGTCTTTTATGTGTTTATTCTGTGTTTTTGTTAGTTAGCGGCCTTGCGATGGGCTGATCCTCCTACTGGCGGTCTTAGATTAAAAAACTGAAGTGAAACCAAGCATTTAAAAAAAATAACTCTGCCATCGCGCCTATCTCCCTTCCTTGACACTGCCTCAAGTGACTGTCGCCAGAGTTCGTGTGAGGTGTCCGGAAGTATGGGAATACAGTCGGTGTGAATGTTCGGTTTATTATTTATATTATGTCATCAAATATTTAGTAAGACCTGTTTCAAACAGCCGAGTTTGAAGATCGCCATTTGACCAGCGGTAGAGACTACTGCTGAAAAGTTTCAGCAGTTGGAGACAAGCCAGTGTGTCTAGTATGATTCTGAGCGGAAATAAGACGCTTCATTTCGTAGTTCTGTTTGTGTCTCTCTCAGGGCAGTGTCGTGTCTCTGTGCGTTGTGTAAACTGTGCGTAAGTTTCGCGATTTCTCGTGTGGTGTGTTAGTTTACTAGACTACAGTAATTAATTTAGTTTCATAATGAAAGTGTTATTGAAAATGCCAAACTATAAAGTTTGGGTGCCGTAAATATAGACAATTTAGTGTGTATTCTTGGCTGAACTTCACGGACATGAAGATTACCGCGCAAGTCTCACCGATATAAGGTAAGATTTAACCTCTTTCTAGTATGAGCAGAATGTCGACTAATACGATAGTAGTAGATGAAGTTAATATAAAATGACCACACACAACTTTAGAATACTCTTCGTGTGTACTTGTAGTTGAGGTACAGAGCTGTTTACAGTTAACGTCGTAACATAAATCAAATTAACCCCATCTGGCTTACGTAACCTAAACGGTCATCGTACTATAAAGTTGTACCTGGCAGTTCAATTTTACATTGTAATAAGCTGTGAACCACACAGTGTCGTATCTAATGTTTTCTTATGGATTATATAGCAATGCTGTAAATATCTGTATTAGTCAGTTTCGTTCGCTACTAACCGGTGTTTCTTTTCCTGGGAGAAAAAATGGCAACCAGAGCGAGAAGCTAACCACTTACATTACACTGACCCTCACATGTGACAAGCGTTGAAAAAGGGCCCGTTATCCTGTATACGTCTATAGCCTAACGACAGTGTATGAAAGTGGCAGGAACTACGTATTGTCACCCGTCAAATGGACTGACTCCGCGGCCTGTAGTCCGCAAGCGAACTATAGTGCCAACGTTTGCAGATAGAGGGTGTCGCGTGGCCAGCGCAACGAATCCCCAAGGCCGTTAATTTCTGATTTCTAGACCGGAGCCCCTATTTTCTTGAAATAGCTCCTCAATTATCGCCACGAGGCCGAGTGGACCCTGTTCCAGGCCCACTACTTCTCAGAAAATTTGGTAACGGGGGAATAGAACCCGGACCTCTGGATCTGTAGTCAGAAACTCTGACCACTAGACCACAGAGGCGGTCCACTAGTCAAATGGAAGCTGCACAAAGTTTTATTTAGCAAGATACGTGCACTTTTATTATCACATGATTTATAGATATCGCTGTCGATATTTCAGTCAATGTGTTTAATCTTCTAACTTGGTTTAAGCTCCATTCTTTTTTCATATACACACACGTTTTTAAGAAATATGTGAGGACTTTAAGCCATCTTCTTTTAATTTTTGAATTATTTGTCTGNTATTTTCTTGAAATAGCTCCTCAATTATCGCCGCGAGGCCGAGTGGACCCTGTTCCACGCCC